GTGCAAGTGCTAGGCGGCCCGGCCGAGGCGGACCGCGTGGCCGCGGCGCATGGCTACCTCAACATGGGCCAGGTGAGTGCGGCCGGCCCCGCGCGCCGAAAACTTTCTCGGCGGCTGGCGGGCACGCGCGAGGGGGCGACGCAGGAGTCCTGTGGGCCCGCGGCCGCGCGTGGGAAGGAGTCCAGGACTGTTCGGCGCGTGCGTTCGGGGTAGGGGTGACCGGTGACACAGGCGCCTGGTGGGAAGTCGCCTGGGAACTAGGTATGCAGGATTCCCTGGGGAGGACGGACCTCTGGCGTTCGAAGTGCGGCCTCGGAAGCTGGGACGGCGCAGACACCTGCCTGGCTCCGGGGGAGTAGGCTCAGCTAAGGCGCCGCGCTTTTCCCGTGGCGTTGTCCTCAGCATCCACCGCGCTCACCCTGGCCTCCCAGGCCCTGCTCTGCCACGTCGGCCCTTCTGCCCTCGACGGGCAGCACCGGGCTGAGGACCATGTGCGTGCGTCAGGGTGGCCAGCCGCTCCTTGGGTGACACGCGCTTGGCCTGGTGTCTCGGGGTCTCGCGCTTCCTTTGTGTCCGGGGCAACTGGTAGGCTACAAGAACCTGCATCTGGGAGCCAGGCTGCCATCAGGGAGGCTCTTGGAATAGGGAGCAGTATCTCCAGGCCTGGAGGAAGGCTGCTTTGTTTCTGGGCTCTTGGCACTGGCTGCCTGCATAGGAACTGTGTGACTTTAGGCAAGTCATTTCCCTGACTTGCTTATCTTCAGGGACCGTGACAATGCTACTATTGTTGGGACAACTGAATGATACGTTGCCTCAAAGCCTGACCCTCACTGGGCAAGCCAGGACCTCCTGGACACACTGCCCACCACCCCAGCTTGCCTGTCATTATTACTGTCAGCAATCAGGTCAGGCCCTGGCAGCATAAAGCCAAAGGATTGCCACAAAGGGTCCCTTTTTTTTGCCACAGGTGGAGGGATGAGGAGGTGGGTTTGATTCTGATCTGTGGCTCCCACCAGGGGACCGCTAACAATTAACAGATATACAAACAGCACACTCAGAGGATCAAGCAAAGTGATGGGCAAGCACCACGGTGTTAGTCAAACCCCACTGCCAGGCAGTGCTAAATTTCATTTAATCATGATCCCTGGCAGAAACCAGCAAACTGTGGTGCTGCCCTTATAGAAATGACATTTATTCTCATCCTAAATCTGGTGTTTATGCTACTAACGTGAGATACGTGGCCTTCTGGAAGGATAGATTCTACCATTTAACTTCTGCACAGGGCTGATTAGAGTTTATCTGAAATAATGCAAGCACATGTTTATACATAATCACTCAAGTTTCTTCAGACATCCTGTGATTTAAGATTTTTTTTTGCCTTTGGAGAGTGAAAGATCAAGGACCAAAAATGAGAGGTTATTCCAAGAAAGGAAACAGAGTCCAGGGTCTGTGTGGGCCACGTGACCTTTATTTCACTCAGGTGAGACACCTGAGTTTGAAAAAGAAGTCAGCATGTGAGTTAAGGCAAGGTGGGAATATAAGAGTGTGGCTGGGTTGGAGGGAGGAGAGATTGGCATACTCATTTCTTCCTGGGCGTGATGGTTCTAACTGGGCAGGTTCCTATATTTGGCCCTATCAGGTAGCACTGACTTTTATTTTCCTCTGTAGTTCCTGTATCTCCCTGGCTGATGGTTCAGACTAAAGAAGGTGTTCCTTACTTAGGGGCCCTGGCTCCTGAAACACTTTGTTCCTTGCCCAGGTGGCTCAGCAATTTGTCTTTAGCTAAAAGTGACTATTAAACTGTATAGTAAATTGCAAAGTCCCTGGGCTGTAGGCTCTTATAATTAAGCAAGCAAAAGTAACAGATCTACAAACAGCACACTCAGAGGATGAAGTAAAGTGACAGGAAAGGTGTTCCTAAGTCAGGGCCCCTAAGCAAATGCCAGGGACACCTTTTTCAGTTCCTGGACATTGCGAAAGGCACAGGTAACTTCCTCTTGAAATTCCTGTCCAGGAGAATAAAAATGCCTGACCCTTGGCCATGTTGGGCCTTTGAAACAACATTTGTTAGATTTACTGAGTTGCTTATGCCCAAATACCACTTTCCCTGATTTTGCCTTTGAGAGAGAAAGTTTCTCTCTGAATGCACCCCAGGACATTCCGGGAGGGTCTTTTAGGGTCTTCCCAGCTCTGTACAGTGCAGCCAGGACGCACTTCAGGTGGCCTGGTCACTCCACTTGGTAGGCATGGTGCTGGTGGTGACACTATGGAGACATTTACAAACTGAGAGATTAGCTGGCTGGGGATGTGAGCTGTCTCAGAGGCTTGTGTGTGATTACTCCAGGAGGGCCTGTTGCTCTTTATTCCCACAAGTTTTTCTCTTCCCCCCCTCTAAGTGCACTGTTAATGTGGAAAAGGCCTGGAGCATTCCAGCCTCTCAAAAAGAACTCTTTAAAAGCCTTATTTGCCTTTTCTCAGCCAGTAGAATTTGTGACTCATAAATACATGTAGATATTATTAGCTTTGATTTACAGATGAGTAAATGAGGGTGAAGTAAGGGGAGGAAGCTGTTTGTGTTCACATGTCACCTCTGAGAATTACACTCCCTGCTCTTTGTCTCAGTTGTATTCTCTACTCTTAAGATCTCCTTTATGTACTTTTTTTCTTCAAGCCCTTAATGGGCAATTAGTGTTCTGCTTTCTACCTGCCTAAATCACAGCCCTAGTTTTCTCCTGGATTATTACTGTGCTATAAGTTCTTGCTTGCTTGTTTTCCTTTCTTTCATGCAACAAATAATCTGATTCAGATCATTTTACAAGATCCAAAGGTAATTTAGACTTGTGGTTACTCACCTTTCTCAAATCATGGATCCCTTTCAGCATCTGATAAAGGCTCTGGAGCCTCTCCATGGAAAAATAAGCATCCTCCGGAAAAAAACAATATAGCCTCTTTTTGCCCCTCTTTTCATAATTCCAGACAATGCAACAAGATTTTTAAAAGGGAATAAAAATCTGAAAGAGTCAAATGTCATTATTGGCAGATGACATAATCAAGTACATGGATAATCCAAAAGAACCTGGAGTTGAGTGGGTTGCCTGATCAACAGTAGCTACCTCTGCCGGAGCCATATCTGAGAAGATAAAAGGAATAATTCATTCCAGAATTAAAGCTATAACATGCTTAGAAATAAATCTTTTAGAAATATGAGACTTTTATAGAGAAAATTTCAAAATATTTAAAAGCAGAATTGAGAAAAAAAGTCTAAATAAACAGAGAAGCATTGTATGGGAGGGCTCAGTTCATAGTTGTCCCCAATAATCTTTAAATGCAATTTAAATGTAATTTAGTTTAAAGCCTGACAAGATTTTATATGGAATATGAAATCATACAATGAACTCTGGAATTCATATGGGAGAGTAAAGTGTAAGAACACATTGGACAATTCTGAGAAAGAGAACAAGGAGGGGGGTTGTGATTATCACAGCAGGTAAGCCCAAGGGAGATCCAGTTCATCAATGGAATTCACTCAGACCCACCTATGTATGGGAACCTGTGCAAGCTGAGGAGTTACAGAGAGGTGGGGAAGGATGGGCTATTTAATAAGCAGTGCTGGGAGAACAGGTTTGCCACGCGGAAAAACAATTAAATCCTCACTGCATGCTGTGTACCAATAGATTCTAGATAGGGTTGAAGACCTGCATATATATAAAACTTTTAGAAAGAAATATAGTGGAATAACTTTATGATATTGAGAAGGAAAGGATGTCTTAAATAGGACACAAAAAGAAACATTTAAAGTGGAGAGATACATTAAAATGAAAAATTATCTACAAATAAAGGACTCCTAACAGTTTAAAAGCAAATCATAGACTTGAAAAATATAAGAGATTAGTGCATATATTATTTTAATAATTAAAAATCACTAAGAAAAAGGTAAACACTAGGTAGAAAAATGGGGAACTATATGGATAAAGAAGTCAATGAAGAGGAAATCCAAATGGCCAATAATCTTAAGAAATGATGCTTATTCTTACTGCACTTCATTGGGGGTTACTGGAGCCAAGCAACCTACCAGATTGGCAAACATGAAAAAGTGTTAGCATCACATGTTGGGAAGACTGCAGAGCAGCGGGAATGTTCAGATGCTGCTGGTTGAAGTTGATGTAACTACTTTGGAGAACAATTTGGCAATACATAGCAAGGCTGAATTGCAGCAGCAAGTCCACATCTAGGATTATTCTGGAGCAACTGTTTGCACATGTGCACAAGGAGACTTGTGTAAGAACATCCATTGAAGTATTTTTTTTTAATTCAGGGAAAAACCACTGAAATATGCATCAGAAGAAATGGAGAAATAAATCAACATAGTCATACCAGGGAAGACTATGCAGTGGCTAAAAATGAATAAACTAGATAATGTATCTATACAGATAAAAGGAATAATAAAATAATGTTGAGTAAAAAAGGCAAATTGCAGACATGCAATATGATAGCATTTACATGAATTTTTAAAATCTTACAGAACAATACTATATGAATGTTTACAGATGTAATAAAAGTCTAGAAGGGTGGTAAGGGTCTGCATCAAATTCTAGTTGGTAACAGCATCTCAGAAGGGAGGGAGGGAGGGAAGAGATACTAGGTAGAGGAACTTTGGACTTCACAGACTTGGTGTTCTACTTTGTAACTCACAGATACACATGTATATATGAGTATATGTGTATATGAATATACTTGGATTATATACAAAATTGTACTTAGGTATTTTTTACTTTTCTTCCTGTAATACAAAATCTTAGTGATGCACACAAGTGTACATATTCATACATATGTGCAAAACATATATTCACATACACATGAACACAGACATAAACACAGATACCCATAAAATGTTAAAGAGGGACAAGAGAAAAGGAAAAGGCACATCATGCACACATACCATGGTGGTCCTGGACTATCTGAAGCACAGCCACAGATGCCCAGGTGCCTATGATCCCAGAGCAAGAGACCCCTGCTTTAGGCCAGACTGGGCCTGATCCACTTGTCCAGGAAATGGTGCCCCAGAGAAAGAG